TATATTCATCTATAAATTCTCCCAACATAAGTCCCATTACCTCTACAGGTATACCTGCTCTACAATGTTTCATCATTTTAAGAAGTGCTAAAGAAGATATGTGAATAGTCTCGGAGGTATCATAAATTGTTTCATCATTCATTCCCATTGTCATTTGTTTAATGTATTCATCCATTATGAGGGTTTAAAAAATATAATTTTAATACACAGTTTGAATAATTTTAAATTAAGAGATTCTTTCCATCAATTTGTTAAAAAGAATTTAAAAATTACAATTTTTTTTACCTCATAGATGGGAATTACAGGATTGTTACCTTTAGTGAAGCCAATTATAAGAAAGAGGACAATCAAATACTATAAAGGTAAAAGAATAGGAGTTGATGGTTCTGTTTGGTTGCACACAATTGCTTCCATTGTAGCTTTTGAACTTTATCACAATATTCAAACTAAATTACACCTTCAACAATTTAAACGAAAGTTGGAAATATTGCTTAAGAATAACATTATTCCGGTATTTGTATTTGATGGTGATTTTAGTATAGCTAAAGAACCTACAACTTTAAAGAGAAAGGAAATTAGAGAGAAGTATAGACTTGAAGTAGAAAATGCTATTGCAAGGGGAGATGAAAAAACAGCAAGGAAATTAATGGAGAGATGTGTAAATATAACACCTGAATTTATGTACACAGTACTGGAAATGTTAAGTTCCAATAATATTGAATATATTATAGCACCTTATGAGGCTGACCCTCAATTAGTCTATTTACAAAAAATTGGATATGTGGATTATATATTGACAATTGATTCTGATTTGATCATTTATGGATCAGAAAAGATTCTTTTTAAATTTGATGGAAGATATGTTGATGAGTATGATAAGAATAAGTTACTTAAACTTGATGGTGGTGAGTTTTTATCAAGGAAGTTATTGGACATCTGTATTTTAAGTGGGTGTGATTTTTTACCTTCTATAAGGGGAATTGGTCTTAAAACAGCAATTAAAATTTTAAAAGAAGTTCATACAATTGAAGCTTTTGTTAAGTATTGTGAATTAAAGAATAAGATAGTTCCTGAAGATTATTTGGTATTATTTGCTAAAGCTAAATCATTCTTCTTGTTTAATATTGTGTATGATCCAGTTAAAGAATGTCGAGTTAATCTTAATGAATTAGAAGAAGAGTTAGAATTTTTAGGAACAAAAGAAAATTTAAAGTTTAAAATCAATGATAATCTTACAATTAATAGACATTTTAAACCACTAAAATATAATAAAGAAAAGAATGTCATTAAAACTAATCCAATTAAATTTAACAAAGATAAATATAATTTTTATTAATTTTTAACCCACTGGGATGGAAGAACAGCTATGGGTAAAAAGGTTATTTTTACCTAAGGAAAGTCCTCGGAAGAAGCTGAAAGGCACTCTTAATAGATTATCTACTCCTCACACTAGATTAATGCTGTTGGGTATCGATCTACTTAACTTAATGAGGCTTACTCTCCAATCCCGATTTTTAATAAATTTTTATTTTCATTATTAAAAATAAACCATGTCAATTGAAGAACTGAGAAACCTTTATGAAGAAATAAAAGATTTTAAAGACATAGTACAAGAGTACTATGAGATGAAACATATTCTTATTGAATTAGAGAATTCAGCAAAATGGCTTAAGGAGGAAAAATCTAAGTTACAACTCAATGATATCTATGAAAAGATAAGGCTACTTGAACAGGAGAATGATATTATTAATAAAGAGATAGAATTAGTGGAAATTAAAGAGGGATCTTGTGATGATATAAATAGTATTAAGAGAGTAATACATCAGGTAGAATCAGAAGAAATTTGTTTTCAAAAATCAGTAAGTTTTTTTAAATCACTAATTGCTTCTTATTTAATTAAAAACAAATTTATTATTGAAATAAAAGAG